AAGATGGAAATTGTGATTAAATGAAGGCAGGAAATTATTGACTTCTCTGATTTTGGGTGAAGAGACCTCCAACAGATGTTCAGATAACTGAGGTCTCCCGTTGCTATATGTCATGGCTCTCTCTGCCAGAGTTGTGATTATTTCTCAAACTTTTTTTCTTTTATCATTTCCCATCCATTTGATATTTATTCTATGTAGTCGTTTGTATATTCGTTTGAAAATAATTGCTTTTGTTTTCTAGTGCCATGAGTCTAAACTCAAGTGCTCTCTACCCTGTTTTTCCTTTTGGGTTATTGGATTTTCTCAGGTGAATTTATCATCTTAATACGCATTACTACTCAGTTCCTCTTTTACCTTTCTCATTCTGGTCATGTTGCTTTTGAAAATTGTACCCTTTTTGAGCCATATTCCATTCATGAGTCTCAATCCTACCAAGTCTTAGTGATTTGTTTTTTTCTTTGGTTTTAAGAATCTTATCTAATTTGTCTTGTGGATATACACGAGACTAAAGTGCAAGTCATTCTTTGAGAAGGTTATAGTTTTCCAAATATGCATACTTATCAAAATAGTTTCTATGGAAGAGAAACTTTACCTTTTACTATAAAAATTGAAAAATTTGTCTATCCATATTGAAAAATCTTAGCATTATGTAGACAGAGAAGGGGTAGGGATCGCATTCCTGCCATGGGGAACTATCAAGGAAAATGCCCTTAATGGGGTTTTGGATCTAGGAACAGCTTAGATGGGCTGATGGAAAAGAGTCTTGAAGTAGGAGAGTTTACCAGGGCAATAAATTTCGAAGTTCAGAATCTTGACTAACGTAGATTACAATGAAAAACAATTTTGGATTTCTTGACTATTGCTTACATTGATGATCTCCACTGATCTATGTGGTCTCAAACCAGTCACCTAACCTCTCTTGTGTAAAAACTTTCCAGCGTCAAAGTTTTTAATCCCAACATTATAGATTCCTGTATCAGGGATTGGCAGTTCGTAGCACGTGAGAGAAATCATAGATGTTTTTTAGTGGTATACTGGCTGTATCAGTCATAGACAATGGGCTTTAAACCAGCCATATCGTTGATACAGCTTTGGACTTGGAGACTGTAGTACTGGGTTCCAAGTCTTACTCGAGATCCAAGTATCCTTGTGCTTATTACCAAGTCATTTAACTTCTCAAGAGTCTCAGTTTTTTGTGAAAAATGAATATCTGTTTCAGTTGTTAGATACTTTAAGAATGCTGTATAAATAGAAATAGTTATTGGATTTATATGAAGGCAAAATTTTTTTCCTATTTGTTAACCAAACTCCTTTGTTTTGTATCCTCTTCCCTCTTGGTTCCTCTTCCTTTCCCACAGGAAGTCGGTAGTCTGTGACTGTAGAAAGTCACTAAACTCACTGAGGGCAGCTAGTTCTGTTCTCTTCTTTCCCTGGGCCCCAGTGAAAACTTCATTTTCTGAATGTTGTCTTTCTTATCTGTTATCTTACATAGATTCACAAAGTTCAAGTCTGACCATGTCAGTGTCCTACTCATTAAACTTAAGTGGTTCCCTATCATTTTCAGGATCAAATATAAAATCTTCTGGCATTCAAAGCCTTTCATAACTTCCTCTCTTCTGTCCCTTCCCCCTACCTTTCCAGTCTTTTTATACTTCCCCATACTGTTTCATTCAGAGACATTGGCCTTGCCAGTCCTCAAACAAGACAATTCTATCTCCGGGCTCCTTATATTTTTATTTTAATTGACAGGCCCCCATGGTAGGAATGTGCTCCCTCCTCATCTCTGCCTCTTGCTTTCCCTGGTTTCTAGTCCCATCTAGAATCTCACCTTCTACAGGAAGCCTTTCCCATTTCCCCGTAATTCTAGTGTCTTTTATCTATTGATTAGCTCCAATTTATTCTGTTTTGTGTACATAGCTTGTTTCTTCATAGTTTTTTTATGTTGTTTTCCCCATTAGACTGTAAGCTTTTTATCTGCCTTTTATCTTTCTTTGTATCCCCAGTCTTTAGAATAGTGTCTAGCACATAATAGTTATCTATCTGTATCCAAAATGCTTTGCACATAAGTGCTAAATAAATGCTTTATTCACTACTGTCTAAATAAGTTATCTTAAGTAATCATTTTTTTCTTTTTTTTCATTTCTTCTTTCTATTCCTCTGTTTCCTCATTTGTTAAATTAGAATTTATAAGACCCCTTCTAGTTTTAGAAATTCTGTTTTTATGGAGTTTCCTGAAATAGTTGTGTTGTACTGTATCCTCAGATAATCCCTCAATGAGTAAATTCTTAGGATCAGCATTGAAACTAGTGTCTGCTTCACCTAGACTTGTGAGTGTCGTTTTGGCGCCATCTCTAGGTGGAGAAGATGAGTCGGCACACTACACCTTAAATTTGAGGATCTTCCTACTGGTCAATATATAAACCACTCTAAGTGCAGTTGTATTGTAGGGTAGAATGGTAGATTTGGAAGTCCTCAGTTTGAATCTGTCATTGGCGTCTACTTGGCTATTTGTCCACGGATGAGTTTCTTAAGTTTGGTTTTCTTATCTGTAAAAATGGCGATAATGTTCATAGATTCAGAGCTGGAAGGGATCTTAGAGGCCACTGAGTTCAGCTTTTTAATGTTACAGATGAGGAAACTGAGACTTTAACTGGCTTGCTAGTATCTGAGGGAGGATTTGAACCTAGCTGCCTCTTATACCATAAGTACTTAACGTCACTTGACCCTCATGAGACCTTATATATATATATTTATATATATATACATATATTTATATATATATGTGGCTTGTAAACTTTAAAGTGCTATGCAGTGTATAAATGTCATTATTTAAATGTTGTCTTTTAATTTAAAAGCAATGTGATGAAGTGGATAAAGTTTCCCACCTTTGCATTAGGAAAACCTGGGTTTAAGTTCTGCCTCCAATGCATGGTAGCTGTGTGACCTGGGATGAGTCTCCCAGAATGTCCTTTTTAAGGAAAAGCAGAGAAGCATAAACATCAATCCCTGCCTTTTAAGGAGTTTGAAACTATACATAGGAGGAGGGGGAAGTTAATAATGACACAAGGCTGTATGTATAGTACCAGCTGTGTTACGAGGTACTTTATGATTAATTGTCAGATTATTACTATAAAGATCATTGTGGGCTTGAGTGGCTCAGGAAGGCATCCCAGTGTCACCAGAGGGATGGAACTTGACCTGGTCCTTGAAAGATCCAAACAATTTTCATCAGCATTCTAGGTAAAGGGAAGCAAAAGGACATATTAGAAAAGTATAGTTTGTTCAGCACAAGTTTGGTTGGGTGCAACAAGTGATTAATGTAGGAGAAGAGTGAAGCATAAGGTTGTACAGGTAGGTGGGGGTGAGCTTTTTGCAAGACTTTTCCTAGACAAGGATTTTGGACTTCATCCTGTAGACTTTATAGATACCTTTGAGGAGATCTGAGCTGGAGAGAGTGAATGCTGAAGCAAATCAGTGGGGAGAGTTAGGCTTTTCTTGTAATTTGGAATTTTTTATAGCATTTTTGTAGTCATTTCCTTCTCATCCAAGCAAAAAAAAAAAAAAAAAAAAAGCTACTTTATCCATTAAGGGCTTTATTCTAAAAAAGCATCCAGGGTAACAAAGTATACAGATCCAGCTTTAACCTTTTTTTTTTTTTTAAACATTTTAGTAACTGAAGTTTATAATGGCAACCCAGAATCACCAGAGTATTCTGAATTATTTTCTGAATCTTAAAAAAAAAGATTAAATTGTATATGTGGCTTTTATGTCCATTGAATTTATTAAAGCTCAATTCTTTGTAAACAGGTGATCCTTGTATGTCATATAACAATGTCCCACTAAGTAGAATACCTGTACGTTTAATTCAAGAAATATTTATGGAATTTTTACTGTTTATAAAAGCACCATATTAATTAGTAATTCTAGATAAACAAGAGTTTAGGCAGACTCATAGTTTATTAAATTTCACACTGAAATCAAAGTAAGGTCATCTGAGTAGTAAGGAGTGCTTTCCCTGCCTTTTTTTCTAATAGAAAAAAGCTATTAAAATTTTTCTTATTCATTTTTATTCCTAATGTTTAGCATATTTTCTTTCACAAAATATGATCTTAATAGATGTGTTGTGAGTAGATAGGAAGGAGCTAGGTTATGGAGGACAGTGTATGTCAAATAGAATTCTTTAAGAATTTATGAAAGAGAGTGATCACATCCTTCAGCCAATTAGCTTTGCAATAATCTAAATTTAGCAGATATTTTCCGAGAACTACTATGTATTAAGACATTATTAGTAGATGGTTGATGGATATGAAAATTTTTTTGCCCTCTCAACAAGGATTAGACTGGTTTTGTTCATTCCCAAAAGGCATTACCAAGACCAGTGGTTAGAAGTCACAGAGACAGATTTTTGCTTGATCTAGGGGAAAATTTCGTAACAGCTGTCTAAAAATGGGATGATTTGCCTTGAAAACAGGGGTATGCTCTCCATTTGTAGCTCTTCAAGGACAAGTTGAACTAGATGACACGTAAGGTGAGGTATCTTTGATTCTGCAATTTGCTGATGTTTTTGCATTTTTGAGATTTAACATGCCTTATGTTCTGCAGAACCTTTTGTATTCATCCTTAGTAACTTGCCCTTTTTCTTTATTGATCAGAATTATGTATGGAATAATAGATAACTGCCCCCCCCATTCCATGTTATCCACTTCCCCCCCAAAATAAAAATTACTAATGCAGCAAGAATTTAGAAAGTTTGAGCCTTATATCTCCATGCTGTTCATTAATTAACCAGAGTGATGTTTAGAGTGAAACATCTTGTTTAAAAGATTTCCTTAACTCCTTAAATGTTCATTTAAACATTTTTTTAGTACTAAGATATTTATGATTTTTAGCGAAACATAGATTATTTTGTGGAAATCCTTTACCAACATTCAAATAATGTTTCTAAAAAGGTTTAATGTCCCCCTCTTGCCCCTCAATAACTGAAACATTTCTATTTTTAGGATCTGGAATTCCATGGAGTAATGAGATTTTACTTTCAAGATAAGGCTGCTGGAAACTTTGCAACAAAGTGCATCCGGGTCTCCAGTACTGCTACAACTCAAGATGTCATAGAAACTCTTGCAGAGAAATTTCGACCTGACATGAGAATGCTGTCATCTCCTAAATATTCACTCTATGAAGTACATGTCAGTGGAGGTTAGTGTATCTTGATTGGGTTGTGTTAGTTAAATATATATCTGGGAATTGGTTGTCTTTCCTTTTGTTAAAATCAGCACCTTGGAAAATAGCCCCATATCCAGGGTAATTAATGGTATAGGTAAATATGCTGATTTCATTTTACTTTGCATGCATTTATTTAAACATTAAGTACTCTTTGGAACTGAGGGATAATTAAAAAAATGAATGATTTCAGATTTTAGCTGCTGGAGATATTGTAGGGCAGATAACACAAATTCTAATACAGAATAGACTGTGGTAGGGGTGGAGAGCCGGCAACCTCTAGTCTGTGGCAAATACATAAGGTACAAACATATTCTTAACATTCTAAGGCGAGTGATGTTTATACCTAGAGCAGGGTGGCATGGGAAGAAGGAGAAAGAAGCACTGAAAAGCCATGGATGCTAGGTAAATCTTGAAGGTTGGGTAGAGTTTCAGAAGGTGGAGATTGGAAGGGTTTGAGATTGAGGATAGCTACTCTAGGGTTGGGCAATAGTGATAGCAAGATAGCAAAAATAGATGTTAGGAGTCTTACACATTTTTGATACTTGTAACATTATGGTATGTATTTCTTTTAGGAGTAGAATTTTGTTTATTTCTGTTAAGTCATTTTTCCAGACAAGTAACATAGAGACTCTGCTTTAGTGTCTAGAAAGTCACATTGTGGTTAGGAACACTTAGGGTTGGAAACCCTAGAAATAGGGTTAGCCATGTGACCTTGTGCAAGTCATTTAACCTTCAAGTATACTCAGACAATTCTGTGAAAGACTATATGGCTCAGAGGAGGTGCTGATTTGCTTTGGAAGAGGGAGTTTCCTCACTGAGTTCCCTACACCATTAAAAATACAACTCTGAACAATAAGTAGCATAACCTGTCCTTACAGTGATTGTCTTTGGCGTACTGATCACCTATACTAATGATATGTTACACATTTTTGGAAATTTAGTTACAAGTAAATAATAACTCTTACTTTGTAATAATTAGTATTTGCAACACAGTTGAACATGATAGTGACATAAGGGATAAGCTTTGAAGTAAAATTTCAGTAGTGTCAAGTAGTATATTTTTATCTTCCAAGGTGAGACTTTAGTTAACATTATAGGTATCCCTCTTTGAAGCAACAGTACAGGGGGGAAAAGCAATAATACTATAACATATGTATTTACAAATAACTTGCTATTTCTTACTCATCTGAAATACCTAAAAGTAATTAATAGCTTTAAATGCAATAATGTTCTGGTTAGATGATATTGGTATTAATATGACTCATTTATATAAATAAATAGAAGTATGAAAGGAAGAAATTGCTTGCTTTTAAATTGTCTTGTATACTACTTTAGATGTTCAAGAAATATTAATTGAATTTACCTGAAACCAAGAAAAGAGAGTTCTCACCAGCAACATTTTTACCAGGTCAAATAGTTCAACATCAGAAATAGTTTTGTATGTTTGCTTTTCTGCTAAACCTTAAGGGTTCATTGAGCCTTTCCATTTGACTTGAAGTCAAAACCTTCTATATGTATACTTTCCCCCATTTGGATGTGAGCTCCTTGATATCAGGGTTTACTTGCTTTTCTGTTGCAGTAGCTATTGAGTACCTAATTTTTATAGTACATTGAAGTTTGCAAAGTGCTTTACATGTATCATCCCTTTTTATCCTCACCAGAACCCTGAGAAGTAGGTGCTATTATTGTTCTCATTTTATATTTGGAAAAAAAAAGTCCTGACTTAACCATAGTCACACAAACTAATAAGTGTCTTTAAGTCTAGATTTGAATTTAGGTCTTCCCAATCCAAGTCTAATGGTCTATTGCTTTACACATAGTGCGCACTTAATAAGTGCTCATTCATTAATTCAGATTTTGTTTAACTGCTACAAGTAAGGTGATACATGTATACACTAACCATACCACAAAGACAGTGAGCAATGCCTGAAATTAAATAGGAGAATCACAGAATCTTTGAAGAGACTAGCAGTTATCTAGTCAAACCTATATATTGAAAAGAATGCTCTTCAGGTGTCTAAGAAGTGGTCATCTAGTCTTTGCTTGAACCCCTCTTGCAGTGGGTAATCCACTGACTCCTGAAACAGCAGCTTTTCAACGTTTTGGACAGGTCTTTTCTTTCTATCAGGTCCAAGTCTGACTCTTCACAACTTCTAGCCATTGCTCCAGTTTTTCTTCTCTGAGTCCAAATCTAATCTTGCTTCTACTTGATAGTCTTTCAGATACTTGAAAGATAATGCTCCTGTTCCCTCTGAGTGTTCTCCCTGGCTGAATAGCTTCAATCCCTTCAACTGATTTGTGTGTGACCTAATCTTGAGGACCTTTGCTGACTTTTCCCTCCTTCCTGTGTTTTTGTCAACTTCCTAAAAAAGTGTTTTCCTGAGCTGACCATAATCTTCTGAATGGGAATCTAAGCCTTAATTAGCTTCTTTTAGCTGCTTTACTATATTGTACTGACTTACATTGAGTTTGTAGTCCATTAACCTGTATGTCATGAGAACAGGACTGAAAATTCTGATTCAAAGAGATGAGTTGTTAAAAACATCTTGTGAGCCCATTTAGTAGTAGCATCATCATCAGCAGTAGTAACTCACATTCATAAGGTGCTTTAAGGCATTTTACATTTATTATAGCTATTTATCCCTTACAACAATTTTGTGATAGAACTGTCATCATCATCCTCATCATCCCATTTTACAGATGCGGAAATTTAGGCTATAAGGTTTGTGACTTGTCCAGGGTCATATAGCTAGTAAGTCTGTGAGACAGGATTCAAAATAAGGTTTTCTTGAGGCCTAACTAGCATTCTATCCATCTTTGCCACCTAGTTGTCTTTAATAGGATATGCCAAAGATACACTTAAAATTTTTAAAGTTTCATTGATTGACAATAAATTAGGAGCTTTGGGTTATTTCAAATCAGTTAGCTCATTACTGAGTTGTTGTTGCTAAAATTTTTTGGTGGGGGGGTGAGGCAATCGGGGTTCAGTGACTTGCCCTGGGTCACACAGCTAGTAAGTGTCAAGTGTCTGAGGTCAAATTTGAACTCGGTTCTCCTGACTCCCAGGCCAGAGCTCTATCCATTGTGCTACCTAGCTGCCCCTTACTAATTTCTTTTAGCTTAATATTATAAGAGTTTCATATTCAGACTTTGGTTTGAGCCTGTAGGAATTTTCCTTTAACTGCCCTCATATTTTTCAGACATATTATCACACTCCCTCCTTGTCTTATTATACCTTTGCCTCCAATTCAATTTTTTCCTAAAACCACTAATTCTGGAATATTTCAATAGGATAATATAGTTATTTACCAAATATTTTCCATACTCTTTTGACAAAGTTCTTGAACCCAGTCTGTACTTAGGGTACACACATACCCTAGGTTGAGAATCACGGAACTGGTTCATACATATCAAGTCAGAAAGGCTTTCAGTTTGGTCACAGTTGAAAGGATCCGCTTTGCTGTTAAGAATACAGAGCCTCATCACCAAAAGGTTGGCCACTGGATGTTTCAGTCAAAGCAGTCCTTTAAAGAGGACATCAGTAAAATCCTAACAGTATCAAAGTAATGGGCATAAATAAACACTTTTTATTTACATTCACAATTACCATCCTAGATCAGGTCTTCCTCATTTATTACTCAAAAAATATTTTAGGTTGTCTTTTCCCCTGCCCCATTCTCTTATATTATGCACAATCACCTAAGTAATATTGCTTAAGTATATTTTCTATCCCGTCATTCCCTTGTTCAGAAGCTTTACTGTAAACTAGTCAGCTTCCTCTGTCAGTACTCTCTATTTAGATCAATACCCTTTTTCTAGCCTGTCTCAAGATTAGGGGGAAGGGATCACACAGCTAGTAAGCGTCCGAGGCTGGATTTGAACTCAGGTCCTCCTGACTACAGGGCCAGGTCACCTAGTGGCCCCTTAACCTCTTCTTAAATTGAGGTTTGTTCATGACCATCTCTGTGCCTCTGTTCATGTTGTTTGCCTTGAAATCTCGATCACTTGGGCATATCTGTTTGTTACTTCTTTTAAGACTTGGCTCATAGCTTGTTCTCTCTGGGAGGCTTTTTACTCCTGATGCTTAATTAATTTTTTGCTTCCTTAATATTACATTTGTACTGCAATTCATTATCATGTATTTGCTTTCATTTTCTAGTTTATCTTAACCTCCTCAACTACTGTGTCTTTTTCCTTTATATTTTATGTAGCCTTGGGTATAGTTGAATTTGAATATTAAATATTTCCGTTATTTTGTAAGCACTGAAGGTAATATGTTTTTATACTTTTTAAGATCAAAATATAGATATGTCATTATTATCTGTTCACATTAAATAACCATGATCTTTTTTTAAAAAAATCTTTTCATATGTTGAAGAAGAAAGAAGATTGGATATAGACGAGAAGCCTCTAGTTGTACAGCTAAATTGGAACAAAGATGATCGAGAGGGCAGATTTGTGCTCAAGAATGAAAATGATGCCATTCCTCCTAAGGTAAGAGTGCTGAATTTTATATAATTATAATTATAAAGTCCAGAGCCAGATCTTATCCAGTTAAAATTTCCCAACTGTATATTAAGTAAAAACTCATGAAGCAAAATCATTTTCAACAAAATGATATTTGATATTTTCTTTTTTGCAATTAAAATTTATTGCTTAATTTCTTCCTCTACTCTCTTGTACTTCCAGAAGGCATACAAAAGCAGTAGATTAAGTGCTGCATTTGAAATAAGGGGACCATGGTTCAAATCCCAACCCTGTTTTACCACCCTTCCTTCCCTCTTCATTGATCCTTATAGTATGATGATAATAAAATATTACTGTTGTATAGGAAAAAGAACATTAGCATTGAAGTTGGGATATATAGACTTCTAGTTGTATGATTGTGAACAAGTCGTTTGCCTTTGTCTTTCTTCTCGTCTCAGAGATATAGAGCTAAATCTCAAGTTGATATATCAGAAGGAGTTGTCAGACACACATGCACAAACACATATACACACATAAAGCACCTTTATCAATTATTTGGACTATTCTCACTTATATTTTTATCTAAATATGACTTATCTAAATATGTTTGTTAGAACACTTAATTACTATGTAACAATGAACTCCATGCCAGTTGGGGTTGTTTATTTTTTGCATTTGTATTTCTAGTGCCTAGTGCTATGCCTGGGATAGAGTAGATACTTAATAAATGTTTGCCTACCACTGTGACATAAAAACAGGAAATTTCAGGTAGTACAAACTATATCTGATTTGATAATTTGACCTGTAGGTAATAGATATCAAAAGCAGCATGGTTTAGTCTTTGGAATTTTAAATGCTGTAAATATGGAATATGATATCCCAAAAATCTTAGTATAGTTATAAGCTGTAAGAAGTGATTAAAGTCTAAAGCTGCATTAAGACTTTTGGGGCACCCTGTATAGTTGATTTTTCATGAAGACTTTTGATTAGGTCATGCTATTCTTGTGGATAAGATGGAGAAATGTGTGCTGGGCATAGTACCATTAGATGGTTTCCTACATGATTGAATTGCTGGGTCCAAAGAAGATTGAGTTGTGGGGTATACCTCAGTACCCTTAGTTGTATTTATTCTTCACAATTAGGTAATGTAACTTCATAGAATCTCAGGGTTAAAAATGACTCCAGAAGCTGTCTAGTGCAACCTGTATTGTTGAACATACTTACCTTATGACTTGAAAACATTTTATCAGATTTATGGATGACATAAATTTGGGAGGAATACATAAATTTATCATCACAGAATCACAAAAAAAAATGTCTAGAAAGATAACTGGCTATTCACCAGTTAAGTGAAATTTAACAGAAATAAGTGTAGAATTATACTTTGGGTTAAATTAACTTTTCTGAGTAAAGAATTAGAGGATCTAGCAATGAAAGCCTTCCAACAATATTGCTCCAATCTACATTTTCAAGCTTTTTTTTATACTACTGTTCTTCATATGCTCCTTTTTCATTCATTTTAAACTATTAGCACTTATATACTGTTGGCCTTCCTGCTCACCTTTGCCCATTTTTGTGTGTTGTCATCTATCCATGGTGACTCCTAACCTCCCAATCCATCTTTGTCTGTTAAATAAAAATCCTTTTCTTTCAGACTTAGCTCTCCTTCCATGAGGAAATTTCTCTGGTATACAGGGGATCCATCTCTCCTATATCTCTCACGTTTCTGTCTTCTGTTTTTCTCATACTTCCAGGGATTGTAAACTGTCAGGGATGGGGGCTGCCATTTTTCATCTTCACATCTCCAATGTACTTATTAAAACACCTGAGGAATGTTTGTTGAAAATGACCTGGCTTGATAACATGAAATGGCATATGAAAAAGACCACAGTTCATTTGATCCCAAGCTCACTATGAGCCAACCGCATGAAGTAAAACAGTAAATGAGATGCATTGGACCTTGCCCAGAGCAGTGTGACCACTACCAGGATGGTGACATACTCAAAAACTATCTTATGAAAAATGATTAAAGGCACTTGAAATAGCCTACTAAAGAGAATATTTAGGGAGATATGACAGTATCTTTAAATTACTAAAGAAGTGCCATGTCAAGGAGGGATTAGACTTAGTATTATGTGTCTCCAGAGGAGAGACTGATAATAATTGTTGACATTTATATTTTGTTTTATGTAGAATGTTAACCATGTTTTCTCTGCATTATCTCATTTGGTTCTCCTCATAAGCTTTTGTTGTAGGCAAAGTAGGTATTTTTATTCCTATTCCATAGTTTGGGAACCTTGAGACTCAGAGAAACATTGACTTGTTCACAGCTCCAGCAGTACTCCAGCGAGTAGTAGTAATGGTTAACATTATTCTGGCACCTTCTTGTTTGAAGCAGTATTTGACCCAACACAAGCTAGGGAGGAAAGGCAGTGCAGGTATCACACCCAATTTTACAAAAAAAGTTGCGTTGACTGAAGTTAAATGACTTGCTCACGTAGCAAACTCTATTTGTTCATATGGCCAGTAGAGCTGGTATTTGTACCTAGGTTTTTTCTTTAAAGAACAGTACTCCTTCATCAGTATTAAAATTATATGAAAATTGGCTTCCAGGTCTCCCAAGCTTAAGTCCAGCCATATTTCCACTATACCATGCTACTTCCTTAAAGATAACCAGTGGGCGAGAGTTATATGCAGACTGATTTTGTAGATTGTTGAGAGATGGGATTAGATTTTTTTTTTATATCTATGTTATAAGGAACTTTTCCACAGTAAAACAAAACAACCTAGCAAATAGTCATTAGAAATGGCTGCCTTGGGTAATATGTTCCTATTTTTGAAGGTAATAAAGTTCAAAGACCATGTTGGGTTGTTCTTGTTAGGGAATTTTTGCATTTCCGGCCTTTTAAATTGAAATAATGGTACCTATATTTCCTATCACGTAAGATGAAGATCAAAATCTTTATTACTTTGTCTGTAAGTGTACATGGTCTATTAAAATTTTTAACTTAGATGTAACCAAAAAATATTTTAGATGTTTCCATTTAGTCACTTTCATATGTTCCCCCTTTCTCTATTGACTTTCTCATGTGGTACTATAGTTTCAAAATATAACTTCACCAATTTCAGTTTCCAGAATTTATTATAGTCAGAGTTTTTACAACCTTTTTTTTTTCCCAGAAGGCTCAGAGTAATGGGCCTGAGAAACAAGAAAAAGAAGGTGTGATCCAGAACTTTAAAAGAACTCTTTCAAAGAAAGAAAAAAAAGAAAAAAAGAAGCGAGAAAAAGAGGCATTGCGTCAGGTGTCTGATAAAGATGATAGGTCTTTGTATGGAGATGACATGTAAGTTCATTGTTGAGACAACCCCAATACTTTGCTTTTACAAACCAAAAGATTTCCACCTAAGTAATCCATGATAATGACCAAACACAGATATGATTAAAAGGCAAGTAAAAATATAACAGTAGCTACTTAAGAAATACTTGTTGATTGATATAGCATTACAAATGAGTTATTTTAACCATAGATTCTAAAATAGCAAGCACTCCATAGCAGCAAAAGTTTCTTTTGTCAAGAATATTCTCTTCACATGCCCCTTCATCTGTATACTATTTCATTTTTATTTCACCTGTGTGAAATGAGGAAGTGTAACTTCTGCCTTCTGTAACAGTCATTCCTCATATGTACTCTAATACCTTTACTCATCCAATCAGACCAGTATGACTGGAGGAAAATTAAAGAGGAAATAAGATTGTTTGCTGTTCAATCACAGTCAGAAGCTAACTTTTAGACACCTAATCTGTTTTTCATACATGTTTAGAGATTACTAATTCCTTTTCTACATTCTTGTCTGTTTTCAGTTTGGAATTAGTCTTTTTAGTGATAACAAGTGAAAACACAATAGGTAATTAACAACTTATACTTTAAGGTATATTAACTTTTAAAGGATTTTTATCTCCTTATTGACATACAAACCAGTTGGAAAACAAAACAGTTCAAACTGTCAGTGGTGATATGTTTCTTTTCTGACAAGTGAGAATTCTCGCCTGGCAGCTGAGGTGTATAAAGATATGCCTGAAACCAGTTTTACACGCACAATATCAAATCCTGAAGTAGTCATGAAACGACGGAGACAGCAGAAACTAGAAAAGAGAATGCAAGAGTTCCGAAGCTCAGATGGCAGACCTGATTCAGGTAATGTTAGCCTAACTTAAGATTCCCACGTAGAGGCCGCATAATAACCTACAATATCAGTATTTGCTCATTTTAGTATATATGGGTATTTATAGGTTAATTATGATTTACACCAACATCAGGGTCATAAGTCACATTGGCTTTGCAGGCACCCCCTGAGTCAGTTTCCCCTGTAACTGAGATTGATGGGCAAATTAATCACTCAGCTATGTGTATTAAGAGAAGAGGTTTTTCTCTCTTCCCCAAAGCATAGTTGTGAAAGGGCAACTGCTGTGTGCCAAAAATTGAATTAGTGCAAACATTTTCTAAGCACTGAAATTGTTGGTTTGGAGGCATTGAGTGCTTGGGGGAGCAGGTCGGTCAACAAGGAATGTATCAAGAAAGAACCCTGTTCAACACAGAAATTATTCTGAACTATAGAGGGAAAAAAACATTAATTACTTCTGTTTTCTCCCAAAGGAAAAATGGACTGTTATTGTAAAAATACGGACATTGAATATAAGAACTCCGTGGCATAACAAAATTGATATTACAACAGAGTATACTTTTGATGGCTTTTCATCAGAGAACTAAAATAAGAAGAATGTAGTTGGATTGTGATGTGAACCCCTTGTCCTCAAAGTGTATGTCTGGGCAGGTCCTACCTAACTAGATACAGCCTTTGAGCATTAGTTTGCTAATGGACCCAGTCATTTAAGTTCTAACTTTGCCAGATTCAGAGGTTCATCCTCAGCTGGCCAATATATGATAAAATTTGGGGTTATAACTCATCAAGTCTTGTCTGCTAGATTGTATGTGTCCTTATGTGTGTGAATGGTGGGAATGACAGTATTGTGATTTATTGGTAGAAAGAATACCTTGGATCTCTTGAAGTTATAGAACTAAGCTGATGACAAAAAGTTTCATTTGCTGAGAATCTTTTAGATAAAACTGAGGCTTTACCTAACCTCACCTCCACCTTCTTCCCTACTCACAAGATGCACATACATTTATCTTCCATCTCACCCCAATTCCATAATGCTTAAGAATTCAGTTTATGGGATATTATGTTACTGATGCCAGCCTATTTAATTGAAAAACATCTAACGAGCACCATCTAGTGGCAAAATTGATGTTTAGAGGGACCAAATAATCATAGAGCTACAATACCTCTTAGATGTCATCTAGTCTAATTCTTTCATTTTATAAAAGGAAACTGAGGGCAAGTGATTTTTTTCCCAGAGTCACACTAATCAATCATAGCACCATAGTCTTATGTTTACTGATCCAGGACAATCATAGTTTCTTCAGTCTTAGCTCTATAGGTCTTGACATCACAAGGATATGACCTGGAAAAATGTGTTAATACAAGTGATAATCAGTAAGTTCCATTTTGAAATCTTTCTGTAGGTATTCTAATTGTTTATTTTAGTTTACTTTTATAATAATGCTGTTTCTAGCTCTTGGATTCCTTTTCCATATTGATTTGTTTTGCTGTGTTTGACTGGTTATAGGTGCTTCTTCAGGGTTTTGGTTAAAGAGAAAAAGGAGTAGGATAAAAGTATGTGTGGTAGGTAATTACTATTTGAGGACAAAAAAAGGAAGCCCTAAATAATTCAGTACTTTCTGTTCAGTCACCTCAATATTATTAGTTGAAATCAACCTTATGAACAAAAATGTTTTGATCTAGAACCGATCTTGAATTTACACCATGTTGTACAATGCATAGGTAACTTAACTTCAGTACATGTAAAATATAGAGGGCCAGTTATTTTCCCTTTCCCTTATGGTGGCTTGCGGATCTATAAATACTATTTTTGTAGTGACACATAATCAGATAAAACTGGGGAATTTGAATAGACAAAGAAGAAGCACATATGTTAATAAGTAGAACTGATGATTAAAATAAATATACATAAGCCTAGTTTGAGTACCAAATACCAAAGAAAAATAAATAGGATGCCAGCTGAAGTTCTACTTTGAATTGGTTTCGATTTATCCTGATATGAAATGTATATTTTGTAAAATTTAAATAGTGTTGCTGTAGTTCCATAAACTTATCAAGGCATTTCAAAACAAAGCAAACATTAAAGCAGCTATCATAATTCTTTGAAGTAAAAAGGTGGTTAGTTGAATTCTCCCACAATATAAACTTGTGTTAAAAGAAAAACGAAGTTGTTGTAAACCATTCAACATTCTTTCTAGTCATAAAACATTTGCTGATAATAAAGCAATAATTCTTTTCATTATGTAAGTTGTTATTTGTAGCATTCAAAAACTGAGCATTATCTGTCCTGTGGTACGTTTAGTAATATGCTTTGGCAAAAATCATTATGATAGTTTGCTGAAATTTTTCAGTGTATTGCCATTGGAAAAATTTGTAAAGCCTTGGAATAATGGTTTAAGGATTTTTGTTTTATGTTTTTTCACTTAAAAAAATTTTTTTTTACAGGTGGAACACTGAGGATTTATGCAGATAGTTTAAAACCAAACATCCCATACAAGACAATCCTGCTGTCAACCACGGATACTGCAGATTTCGCTGTGGTTGAAGCTTTAGAGAAATACGGTCTGGAAAAAGAAAATCCCAAGGATTACTGCGTTGCCCGTGTAAGTAACCACATTGTTAGTATCACTGGTACCAAAAAAAAATGGTGCAACCTTGCATTTAAACTGGAAGATTTTTTTTAAAGTTGCTTTAAACAATTTGACTTGCATTTCTGGATAATTGGAGTTCGATAGACTAGAAATGTTTATGCATGCTATTAAAGGATTGCTTTCTCTCATGACTTTTATTACAGGGATTAAAATATCTAGAGATTTTATTTTGCTTATTCAGATGTAGTAGTGGCTTCCAAATACCTAGTTTCTTGATGCCCAATGTATCTGAGCGTCATACCTTATTCTTAATTTCTAGGAGTGTATCTCTAACCCTTTTAACTGAAGAATCTTGCCAGAAGTTTGTACAGCGTATTCAGTACTATATTGCTGATGGATGACATACTGCTTTTCCATGCTGAGTGTAAAAATCCTATTAATAATCATCAATCACAGTAACAATTGACTACTCCATTTTCTTGGAGTATCACAAGTATGAAAGGCATTTTCCAAACATCATATTGTTTGTTCTAGTGTTACTGTTCTAGAATTTGAAGAGAAAAGGCGTTGATAAAATAAGAACATTAAGTAAAAGTAAAAAATAAGAATATGATATTAGTGGCAGGATTTTTGTTTCTTTGATTGTGCTGTTTGAATTTTGAAGAATGTGTCTTGTCAACAGAAAGTGGAGTATCTTTTGGGAAGACTTAAATGATTGACCTTTACTTAGCCAGTTAACTGGCTTTTAAATTAACTGGCTTTTTAATTTTTGCACCAAGGAAGGCCTTCACAATGTTACATAATTATAATAAAGTCGTTATGCCTGTCGCTGAAATGCAAATTAAAAGACCAACACCCTTAAAATCAGTGTTTAACCTTTGCTGCTGCTGCTGCTGCTGGTTTTATCACCATTTTCTAGTTTTCATTTTGTACAGTGGTATTTTTATATCTATCTTAAAAAATGTGACAGTTCACCAAAGTCTTAAGTATCTACTGTGTGCTGGGTGCTCTACTAATGTTTTTAAAAAGTTTGGTAAGATATTAATCAATTTTTACTATGATCCCTTAATTGCCTTCGATTGTTAAATTTGAGATTTGTTGCATATATGCACAGTAAATCACTTCAAATATACTTATAATTGGCATTTCAGTGGTTTTGTTTAATTTTGAAATGGTTCCTTAATTATGCTAAATTACCTAACATATACAGCTGAAATTAGAAGAAAGGGATTTTTTTATTCTGATTTAAACTTTCATAAGATTCTGTGTTAAGGTTTATTTACTTTACATCTGCTACTAGTTCCTGTGGGTCTAAACCCAAGCAATCTATAAAAAAATGACCTTTTCACTTGACGGAGAAATGATTAAATTGGCACTAACCTTTTGGGGCAAAGACTATTAGGTATAAGGGTTGTAGAGATAGGGTTTCTGATATTGTGGGTAACTTGTACAGTGTCTTCACAAAATGGTAATCTTTGTTAAGGAGGTGGCCCTGGGAACACTTGAGAAGAGGAAAAAAGGAATGTGTGCATTGGGTCTTGAATCTGCGAAGGATATTCACATACGAAGGGAGAATGTTGGTTCCTAAGGGCAAAAAACTAGCTAAAAAGCAATACCTGACTACTTTAGTAGTAAGTGATATTAACAGCTGGCATATATATAGTGCTTTAAAATTTGCATGGTGCTACAAAAATGGTGACTTACTGTGTTTTGGAGATTGATGATGGAAGCAGCAAGGATATATTCCTAGAAACATAGCTAAAGCAAGAAAACCATCTGTTGGATTTTATGGGTGATGATATTAAAGACACATGCTTTTAGAATTGAAAGGGGCCTCAGCCACCATTTAATCCAATATATACTTGAAAAAGAATCCCCATTGAAACATTTTCATGGGTAACATTTTGTACCTCTTGTTCTAAGTTGTTAATTCACTTTCCATAGCTTTCTTCCATAGATCTCCTTTCTTTTCTAATTTTTTTTTAATTCACTGCTTTCTTTTTTAAAAAATTGTAGTTTAGCAGTTTTTCAAACTCTTGTTCATGCTTCCAGGCTTTCTGATTAGATTTGTGTACAAGCTGTTTTTTTGTTTTTTTTTTGTTTTTTTTTTTCCTCAGAAACTTGTATGTGTTTTTGAGATATTCTCTTATTTTGGGCATATGTCTTTACTTTCCCTGTTGTCTTATTAGCTTTTTATGGTCAGATTCATTTTGTTTGCTCATTCTTCCTGCTCATTTGCATTTTCTATATGTTAGGGCTGGCACCTTAGTACTTCTGGGGGTAAGGTATGGGCTGAGATTTTGTCCTCTCGCCCCTTCTTCTGATCTCTGCAACTTTCTGACCCAAGTTTGGGCCTGAGCAAGACCTGTTGGCTTGTCCCTGTTAAGAAGTTTGCTGCTGGACTTAGCGGCTACTCTTAGCCCACTGGGAGGCCTTGCAGGTTCAGAGCAACAAAATTGTAGGGAACCCTTTGATCTGGTATTCCTACCCTGGTTCTGCCTTTGCAGGCAGCATTCCTGCGCTGGAGACTAGAACTGAATCATATTCTTTGACCACTTATCTATTGGGAATTACTTTGGGTCATGAACATAGACATAGACATAGACACAGTCACAGACATGTTCAATTCCAAACTTTTATCAGAGAGAAATTCTCCCTCTCCCTTCTCATTCAACCACTTCCTTATACCAGGAGCATTAATTCTATCTGTACTGAGACTTTTCTGTTTCATGTAATCAAAGTTCCTATTTTAATTTATTAATTTATTTCTTTTATTTATTTCTTTATTTCTTTTTTAATTTGCTCTATCCCTTATTTTTCTAAGAATGCGTCTCCTACCTATAGCTAAGAATGATGCATATATAAATGATCCACTCTTCCTCATTTTAATATAAAGGCCACATATCTATTTAGAATATATTATGAAATACACTGTAAAGTGTTAGTGAAAAGAATATATTATGAAATACACTGTAAAGTGTTAGTGAAAGCCTAATTTTCTACCAAATTACTTTGTAGTTTTCCCAGCAGGTATTATCAAATAGGGAGTTAAATAATTTATATTTTTTGGTTTATCTAAGATTAATTATTGAGTTCCATTATTTCTGTTTGTTTAGTGTGTTCCATTGAAACTTCAGGTTGTTTTGATTTACATTTCCCTTATTATTTGTGATTTGGAGCATTCTTTTGTCTGGTTATTAATAGTTTGCAATTCTTTTGAGAACTGTGTATGTTCATATCCTTTGACCACTTATCTATTTGGTGTTGTCTATCTATATAAAATATTTTTATATGTCTTGGATATCTTGGATATGATTTGTCAGAAAAATTTGATGCAAAAGTAGTTTCTCTTTTGACTGCTTCTCTTACTAGGTGTGATCTATAGATGTGTTAATTTTGTATGGGTAGTCAGGTTTCAATTTCAAGGAATCAGTTATCAATATTATCACTTGTAATTGCTTGGGTAGATACATCTACATGTGACTGAGAAGGATATGATCTCTTGTAATTTTTTGTTTAATAATATGGTTTCTAAGATGAAGGTCATATTTATAGACTATTTTTTGTAGTATGGTGTAAAATGTTGGTCTCAGTCTAATTTCTGCCAGACAACTTTCCAGTTTCCCAGTTTTTATTCAATAGGTAATTCTTTACTAGGCAATTTATGTTTTCCATTTTATAAAACACTAGGTTACTGAGTTCAGTTGTTTTTCATTCTCCTTTGTCTACTCTTCTACTCTGTTCCATTAGTGTCTACCCTCTGTTTTTATCCAGTTTTTAACCAATATGAAATGGTTTTTGATGACTGCTATTTTATAATATAGTTTGAAATCTGGAAGGTCTGTTACCTCCCTCATCCTCACCTCTTTTCATTATTTTCCATTTCCCTGTTTCCCATGATACTCTAGGTCTTTTATTTTTCAGAATGAATTATTAGTATCTCTGATAATTTCTTATAGCATTAAACCTATAACTTAATTTTGATAATAGTGTACTTTTTATTATGTTGTCATGGTTCATTTGTGAATACTGACTATTCCTCTAGCTATTTAAGTTCTTGAATCTATATAAATAATTTGTGTGCTTTGGTAAATGATTCCCAATTATTTTATGCATTTTATAGTTATTTGGAATGGAATTTCCTTTTTTATTGTTTCTTGGCTTTTGTCATAATTTTTACTATTATGTTTAATGATATTTTTAATTTTTAAACAATACAGAACAATAAAATATAGAACAGAAATTATTTTTGAGGTTTTATTTTGTAAGCTTGCAATATTGCTGTGGCTATTACCTCAATCAGCATCTCTGCAGATTCTCTGGGATTTTTTTTAAGTCATGTTAGCAACAAATAGGGATAGCCTTAAGTTTTTTTCTCTTATTACTGTTATTAGCATTTTCAGAACTATATCAGTTAATAGTGAGGAGACCTTTTTTTATTCCAGTATTAATTGGGAAAGGTTCCAATATATCCCTGCTGTACACAATACTTGACTTTGGTTGATTTTAAATACTTTTTATGATATTAAAGAAAGTCCCTGTATGCCTGTGTATTTTAAGATTTGTAACATTAATGAGTGTTGTATTTTTTTAGAAGCTTTTCTGCATCAGTTGAGATACCATGTGACTTTTAGATTTTTAAAAAATGTTTTCATATTACTATTAATTTTGTTAGCTTTTTTATTGACGTTGAACCATCCTTGCATTCTTGGTATAAAAACAACTTGGTTATAATGAATGATTTCTTGATGAATTGCTGTAGTCTTCTTGATAGGATTTTTTTTAAAGTATTTTAAATGTCTAGTAGGTAATTGGTGGAGCTTACAAGAAATGAGTAGAGCTGAACATAAAATGTCTTTAAGTGATCTAAATACATAATTGAGCACATGCTAGTTGTTGAGGTTCCCTGAGACTTTGGTGAGAGAAGGCCTATGACAGAGCTTTAGATTAGAGCCTTTAACCTACAATTAGAGGATGGTAGGTAGCTACAGATTCAGCAGAAGAAAGAAGGA